CGGAGGCACTAGGGCGGAGGCACTAGGGCGGAGGCACTAGGGCGGAGGCACTAGGGCGGAGGCACTAGGGCGGAGGCACTAGGGCGGAGGCACTAGGGCGGAGGCACTAGGGCGGAGGCACTAGGGCGGAGGCACTAGGGCGGAGGCACTAGGGCGGAGGCACTAGGGCGGAGGCACTAGGGCGGAGGCACTAGGGCGGAGGCACTAGGGCGGAGGCACTAGGGCGGAGGCACTAGGGCGGAGGCACTAGGGCGGAGGCACTAGGGCGGAGGCACTAGGGCGGAGGCACTAGGGCGGAGGCACTAGGGCGGAGGCACTAGGGCGGAGGCACTAGGGCGGAGGCACTAGGGCGGAGGCACTAGGGCGGAGGCACTAGGGCGGAGGCACTAGGGCGGAGGCACTAGGGCGGAGGCACTAGGGCGGAGGCACTAGGGCGGAGGCACTAGGGCGGAGGCACTAGGGCGGAGGCACTAGGGCGGAGGCACTAGGGCGGAGGCACTAGGGCGGAGGCACTAGGGCGGAGGCACTAGGGCGGAGGCACTAGGGCGGAGGCACTAGGGCGGAGGCACTAGGGCGGAGGCACTAGGGCGGAGGCACTAGGGCGGAGGCACTAGGGCGGAGGCACTAGGGCGGAGGCACTAGGGCGGAGGCACTAGGGCGGAGGCACTAGGGCGGAGGCACTAGGGCGGAGGCACTAGGGCGGAGGCACTAGGGCGGAGGCACTAGGGCGGAGGCACTAGGGCGGAGGCACTAGGGCGGAGGCACTAGGGCGGAGGCACTAGGGCGGAGGCACTAGGGCGGAGGCACTAGGGCGGAGGCACTAGGGCGGAGGCACTAGGGCGGAGGCACTAGGGCGGAGGCACTAGGGCGGAGGCACTAGGGCGGAGGCACTAGGGCGGAGGCACTAGGGCGGAGGCACTAGGGCGGAGGCACTAGGGCGGAGGCACTAGGGCGGAGGCACTAGGGCGGAGGCACTAGGGCGGAGGCACTAGGGCGGAGGCACTAGGGCGGAGGCACTAGGGCGGAGGCACTAGGGCGGAGGCACTAGGGCGGAGGCACTAGGGCGGAGGCACTAGGGCGGAGGCACTAGGGCGGAGGCACTAGGGCGGAGGCACTAGGGCGGAGGCACTAGGGCGGAGGCACTAGGGCGGAGGCACTAGGGCGGAGGCACTAGGGCGGAGGCACTAGGGCGGAGGCACTAGGGCGGAGGCACTAGGGCGGAGGCACTAGGGCGGAGGCACTAGGGCGGAGGCACTAGGGCGGAGGCACTAGGGCGGAGGCACTAGGGCGGAGGCACTAGGGCGGAGGCACTAGGGCGGAGGCACTAGGGCGGAGGCACTAGGGCGGAGGCACTAGGGCGGAGGCACTAGGGCGGAGGCACTAGGGCGGAGGCACTAGGGCGGAGGCACTAGGGCGGAGGCACTAGGGCGGAGGCACTAGGGCGGAGGCACTAGGGCGGAGGCACTAGGGCGGAGGCACTAGGGCGGAGGCACTAGGGCGGAGGCACTAGGGCGGAGGCACTAGGGCGGAGGCACTAGGGCGGAGGCACTAGGGCGGAGGCACTAGGGCGGAGGCACTAGGGCGGAGGCACTAGGGCGGAGGCACTAGGGCGGAGGCACTAGGGCGGAGGCACTAGGGCGGAGGCACTAGGGCGGAGGCACTAGGGCGGAGGCACTAGGGCGGAGGCACTAGGGCGGAGGCACTAGGGCGGAGGCACTAGGGCGGAGGCACTAGGGCGGAGGCACTAGGGCGGAGGCACTAGGGCGGAGGCACTAGGGCGGAGGCACTAGGGCGGAGGCACTAGGGCGGAGGCACTAGGGCGGAGGCACTAGGGCGGAGGCACTAGGGCGGAGGCACTAGGGCGGAGGCACTAGGGCGGAGGCACTAGGGCGGAGGCACTAGGGCGGAGGCACTAGGGCGGAGGCACTAGGGCGGAGGCACTAGGGCGGAGGCACTAGGGCGGAGGCACTAGGGCGGAGGCACTAGGGCGGAGGCACTAGGGCGGAGGCACTAGGGCGGAGGCACTAGGGCGGAGGCACTAGGGCGGAGGCACTAGGGCGGAGGCACTAGGGCGGAGGCACTAGGGCGGAGGCACTAGGGCGGAGGCACTAGGGCGGAGGCACTAGGGCGGAGGCACTAGGGCGGAGGCACTAGGGCGGAGGCACTAGGGCGGAGGCACTAGGGCGGAGGCACTAGGGCGGAGGCACTAGGGCGGAGGCACTAGGGCGGAGGCACTAGGGCGGAGGCACTAGGGCGGAGGCACTAGGGCGGAGGCACTAGGGCGGAGGCACTAGGGCGGAGGCACTAGGGCGGAGGCACTAGGGCGGAGGCACTAGGGCGGAGGCACTAGGGCGGAGGCACTAGGGCGGAGGCACTAGGGCGGAGGCACTAGGGCGGAGGCACTAGGGCGGAGGCACTAGGGCGGAGNAGGTAGGGCGGAAGGCCCTCTTCAGCCTGCTTTCAGGAATCGTGGGAATGGGTGGGTGGTGGTTCGGGTGAGAAAAACTTGGAACAAGGCAGACGGACCCGGAATCGAATCGGCGTCCTCCCGAATGCTATGCAATGGTCTAGACCTCTAGGCCATGCCGCTCGGTTGGTTGGACAACTTTCGACTTTTGGGTGTTTCATTCCCACCAGCCAGTAATGCTGGTGGGCGGGCAGTCCCTCCAGACTACGCCGGAAGGTAGGGCGGAAGGCCCTCTTCAGTCGGCTTTCAGGAATCGTGGGAATGGGTAGGTGGTGGTTCGGGTGAGAAAGCTGAGACGGACGAAATGAAGACAGAAGAGAATGAAAGATTATGTGTGGAATATTACTGCCCCAGCATTTGCCTAAGTAATCCAAGGAAACCATAGAAAAACTTGGACCAAGGCAGACGGACCCGGAATCGAACCGGCGTCCTCCCGAATGCTAAGCAATGGTCTAGACCTCTAGGCCATGCCGCTCGGTTGGTTGGACATCCACCTCCACCCTTTCCTATCCTGAGCTAATCTAGGTTTACCTCTGCTCCTCTTAATTCCTGTTTTCACCTCTAATATGTCTCTTACTAGATTTTCATGCCTGAGAAGGTGTCCTACCAAACTATTAAAAAAACAATGTAGAGGATATCTAATTATGCTTCCTTTAACAAAATATACGTTTTCTTGCCGACATTTTTATGAAACACTCGTTCTAAATCAGTGGCGTAGCAATCGATAAAAGGAGTGCGAAGGGAGTCCACAGCGCACCACAAAACCCGATTCTCACTATATTCTTTTTCATATCCATTCTCTAAACGTAGAAGTAGTGAGTAATCTGGTAGTAAAAACAACGGAGAAGTCTCTGGATTCACAATATATTGAAGGAAAGAAATATTGATGAATGGATTTATTACACTAATCCTATGGCTCATTCCTACTAACTTTCCTTTAAATATCACCTTCGTCAACATCTCAAACCATAATTCTTTTGTAGGAATATCACCAAGACAGCTAAAACTGTTAAGTGAAACGGAAAATGTTGATTGCAGTTCCTTGCTAACGTTTCTCTAGCACAAGTGGTAAGCTTCTTCCATCTCCAATGCTGGATGTAGCTTGTAGTATTAGGTAACGTAGCATCGGAGATGGAAGGACCTTTGAACCCGAATCAGAACAGCGTCAGTCCATCTACTGATGGCGAAAATCTTTACCAATTTGTCAATATTAAAGCCGTTGATGAGAGCGAAGTACAACACCGATCCGCCGATATTCTGCAAGCTGACAAATCATCACCAATTAAGTAATAGTGGTAATTGGAATTGTAATTACTTTTGGACTGGATTTTACGAATTTGATAATACAAATGAGCTGACACGAAACATATTCCTATCCACACTAGTCCTGACATTTCTGTCACGTGAGGCGGAGCGCCCACCGGAAAAGTGTAGCATTAAAACATAGCAGCAGCGTGATTCTGGCATGACGCTGACTTGGCTTAACTTTTTTCAACGAACACAGGTATAGACTGGTAATAGTAAATATTATAATGTCATTCGATGAAGATATATTAGATTCAGTACATTTACTCAATAAGAATGGAAACTGTCCGGGAAATAGGAAGACAAAAAGAATACACCCCTAATGGAAAATCAAACGAACACACAGTGCTTATAATGTCCCTTAATGTCCCTTCTCAGATTTTTTCATGCGAATTCTCATTTGAATATTCGCTAAACTATCATATTCATTGGTCTTAAGAGTGGTTGAACACGCACCTCCACTTTTTCCTAACCTGAGCTAATCTTCGCATTTCCTTAAAGCTAGAACATCGCCACAAATACGATCATAAATGCAGAGATACGCTTCAATCATTACAAAAAAAACGAATAGTCAAATTTTGATAATCCTTCATTTTTGGTTAATCCACAACAAAATGAAGTAACACTTCTTAAGTGCCGTGACAAAAAAATAGAGTAAACTCTACTTTAATTGCAGTGGCATGACATGCTACAAGCCACAATTGGCATGTTGCTTGTTACATTCGTTCAGTGACCGCTAATTCTTTTGCTAGCATTCGTTCAATTTGCAGTAGCATCCTACATCCTCCTGGATCACGCGCTAGATCACACATTACATCACTTCGGTGGATGCTCTGCTTAAAAGTCACTGTACGGAATGGAAGATAGACGGAGCAACTGGACCTCATATAAAAATGTATCTTTAAGGTCAGTTTGAAAATAGGATGGAAACGAACCTTAATCCTATTGAAATTTCAGTAAATTCCTTTATAGTTCACTGTGTTATAAATGCACAATCTACACTGCGTAAGAGCCTAAACAACTCGACTCCCGATGGCGCAAGAGGAATCTGTGGAGGTCGGACCCACAAGGACCTCTCAACGCCGCTGTTTAGAAAAACGTAAAATTTCTTAGAATCTTTTTTTAAAACCTTCCTTATCCCTAGAACTAACTAAGGAGTAATGTGACGTGGAGAGGTAAAGTGAATCACCCTGTAAATCATAAAAATCACTTCTCAAAATAGACTTACTTTGCTTTTCAAATGGGATGCATCACTTTGTGAAGACATGAGGGGCCTTCGGGTTACTGGTGGTACGGTAATCATTTTGGGTTTTCTCAATATTCACATTAAGTGTTTTGCTCTATATGTTGTATTTCACAAACATGTCAACGAAACACCGTAACAAAAGTCACAATCACTAAATTCCGAAAATCACAGTCAAAAACATTTCTGGAAAGGAAAAACAATTTTCACTCCACAATTGAGTCCAATGTTAGGGACAACAAACTATTTTTAAATATTTTCCTGGTTGATCTTTTTGTTAAAAAGTTATGAAAGGATGTCTACGTTGGCATGAATTAAATAACTGGCATGATGATGTGTATTGTTCTCGCAGGATGCAGCATTTTCAAAAAGGGATATGGAACTTTTGAAATCTGATCAGCTAAATGGACACATTAGGAAATATTCAAATAGAGGCTTAATATATCCTTTTCTAACGTTTGAAATGCACTGTAAATACCCACTAGATGGCGACACACTCCCTCTATTTGGTTTTANTGCTGCTATTGGACTGATATTTCACATAGCTGCCATTTAAAAAAAAACATATTTTTTATATTTTTGAACACTCCCTATAGGAAATCAAATCTGGATAATACAAATGACCTTGTAGTAAATGTTTGATAAATTTTTTGATTAAACTTTCAGTTTAGCCACAATAAGCATATTGCGAACTTTGTTTACTATTTGACTCAAAAAAAATCTTTTAAACATCCCCGCGATAGTAAATCAAATTCAAATAATACAAACGATCTTGTATTAAAATAGGGAGCAAGTTTTGTTTGAAAAATTTTTCGATTAAACTTACAGTTTGTCTGCAATGAGCATATTGCGTAGGTACTTTTTGGTCCACACTGTATATATACTTCAGTTCAAGGAATCTGTGACCTAATAAGTACGTTTCGTCATTGTTACCGCTGTCACCTCTCGTAGCTTAATGGTCACACTAATGGTGCGAAAAGTCAAAGGTCCTGGGTTCGATTCCCGGCTAGGGTGTACAGCAGCAATGATTTTTCCTTATTAATTTGAGGTAATTTGTAGAATTAAATGAATTTTCACATTTATATATGTGTCTTTTGTTAGTACGATAGTACTACCTCTATCTTCGACATGCAACAATTAGTTTAGTATTAAACCTATTAATATAAAATTTACCAAAAGCTCACTACGTCTTTGTAATATAAGAAAGAAAGGCTTGATGAATCATACTAAATAGAATCAAATAAAAAAAACGACGATCAAACTGTTTATTAAAAACTCTCGCAACTGTTTCGACCGATAGGTCATTATCAGTTGCTGTACTACTACTTCAATTGTCTGTTTCAAGAGTTTTAATTCAACTGTCGCACATTTTTATTTGATTCCGTCCGTTTTGTCTATCTCTCTTTTTTTTTTTTTAATTTTACAAAACTCCTTACTCCTTACTCTTTCACCCAGATGGAGATGACCCAACCGGCACACCTTATCGAACCAAATCGAACACATTTTTCAAAAATAGTAAAACACCAAATTCTCTATTCCGACTACACAGCAAGTCGATCACGTAAAACACTAAAGTAACTACTAAGTTAAGTTAATCTACATTAATTTCGAAAATGAAACGATTAAAAATCGTAAGAGGGGAGATGGATAGAGTTTAGAAGAGGATCTTTATAATATTCAGTAAAGGAAAGTCGTACGTAATAAGCAAATAAAGTCAATTTCCTAATAAAAATAACAGCGACATCAAAGAAACTGCAGCAAAATTTCAACAGAATCCTGGCCAAAAGTAACAACTTCTCTGCCTGAGCGAGACTTGAAGAAACAGTCTGATGTTTACGTACAAGAATGGAGTTAAAAATATAATTTATACGAGGGGTGTCAAAAATTACACAGGACAACAACAATTTTTGGTGTCAAGAGTTTAAAGAATAAGAATTTTTCTGTCCCTAAAACAGGAAACAGAACGGGGCAGAACTTAGTAATTGGTGCCTAAAAATGTGCCTTCAGGCTTTTCAGGGCTTCGAATCGCCGTAATTAAACTCCATCTATGAACGAGTTGTTGGAGCTTGGTGAACGAATTAGTTTATAAAAGTACTGTGCAATTTGTAACCCAAAGTACTTCAGCTCTTCCAAAGTGCTTGAAGCACTTTAATAGCATTTAGCGATTTGATTGTAATTGAATTTTAAGAAGTATGTAGTTGGAACTTCAAGGACTAAAGCATTTTAACTAAGGGTTTTGTGGTTAGTGCTTAGAAGAAACACTCTGTATGAGTTACTTAATTAACTTAATAATTTTCGAAGTACGCTTTATCTTTTATTATTCGTATATTTAAAAGTACCCTAAAAGTATTACAAAAGTAAATACAGCAGGGATCATAGTTAAGATGAGAAGGAAACCGAATGGGGTGAATGGTGATTGTGAACGAGAAGGACAGGAAAATGGGGTAAGAATGACCCTTAAAAGCACTTTCAAGGGAGAGACGGGCGGAGGCACTAGGGCGGAGGCAATAGGGCGGAGGCACTAGGGCGGAGGCTCTAGGGCGGAGGCACTAGGGCGGAGGCACTAGGGCGGAGGCACTAGGGCGGAGGCACTAGGGCGGAGGCACTAGGGCGGAGGCACTAGGGCGGAGGNACTCAACAGTGGTTAATATTAAATATTAATATTATTCTGAAAATTCATTTTTGATCTATAGTATAATACTGACAATAAAAATAGCTAATAAGTAGAGGTTCAATCAGAACTAGGTGGTGGTATGTATTTTTCAGAAATGCCAATACCTAAAGGTATTTGTGATTCGCTGCCTCTAAAAAGAGATGCGCGGATAGGTGCGAGACATTTAGAACAATGAGCTTAATTTTCCATGCGTCAAAAATTTTAACTAAAATTGTACGAAGAAGGATGGGAAAAAAGGGCAAAAGAACTATAAGCGAAAGATCAATTTGGGTTTAGAAGAAATAGAGGAACGCAGGAGGTCATTCTAGCTTTACGGGTAACAATAGAGAAAACAATAGAAAAAGGAAAGAGTGCGTACATAGGATTTGTAGATTTAGAAAAAGCTTTTGACAATGTTCAATGGGACAAGACGTAAAATATACTTAAAAATATAGGGATGAGTTACAAAGATAGAAGAGTGATACTTAGTTTGTATAAGGAGCAACAGGCAGTGGATGCATCGTAGAGAAGTAAATATTAGGAAGGGAGTCAGACAGGGATGCACACTGTCACCGCTACTTTTTAATCTATACATCGAAGACGACATCAACATCATTAAAGACAGTACAACTGTAGGGATAGACGTGCAAGGGCAAAAGATTAGCATGCTTGGATTTGCAGATGACATAACAGTAGTAGCATCTAGCAAGGAGGAGTTAGAGATAGCTTTAAATAAAATGGAAGCGGAATTGACAAAGCAATATTGTACGAAAATAAATATAAGTAAAACAAAAATACTGGTGTGCAAGAGAACAAAAAGTATGGAAAGAACGAATTTAAAGATAGGAGACGAAAGGTGAGGAAATGGATGATTTTAGGCTGATGCTCGCGAACGATTAATTTTAATATTCCAAAAAAAATATTGTGAAAGGTGTATGTTTGGAGTGCGGTGCCATACAGGTGCTTTGGAAAAGAGAAGGTTAAAAGCGACCTTGTGATGATGATTGAAATATATTCACCTATGTAAGTATACCAATACTGAACCTCAATGGAGAGACGCATGAGTCCATGTGGCAGTAAAAGTATTAATAAAATATGAATAATGTGTAGCATGAGTCGGGTTCAAGGGTCACCAAACACGACGGATTTGACAAATACCTATATTGAAACGAGGAGTTCCAAATGGAACTGAGCCAAAATGACAATAATCAGTCTTTCATTTCTATCCTGTCTGAACAGGAATATGTGGAATGTCTTTGACACAACATTAATATAAATTTTGATTTGCGTATTACAACTCACAACATTCAGCTTATTTTTATCTATTCGTAAATACGCATTTATTGTAAGAAATTAACTACATAATTACAAATAAGTATTTATCTAATGACAACCAATTAAACGGTTAGTATTTAAATTCAAATGATGAGTATTGTATTACCGAAATAGTCAGGACAAAAATATGAGAGTTGAATTTAAAATTTAAAACCTTTATATATAATACTTATGCCTGCTACGTGGTATTAAATACGAACCACAATTTTTTTTTGAAACCTGAACTTTCATATTTAAATCAAAAGATACTGATGAATTTAGAAAATGACCCTTTACATCTAAAGTCTTAATACTTAAATACTGGCCTCTTAGACTTAAATACCGAGTCTTTATTTTTAAATACAAGCTACGTAATATTAAAAACAGGAAACAATTCTATTTAAAAGCTGACCTCTCATATTTAACTGACACTTTATATTTAAATGCTGTTCACCAAAAAATATTGACCATCATCATCATCATCAACAAAGAGCCGTCAGTTCTAAGACTGCTTGGACACCTTACCTATCCTGAGCTAATTTTTGCATTTCTCTAAAACTAGAACATTCCACATCCTTAATATTTACTACTCTTAAGTATTGCTCCTGCTTCTAATATGTGCCTAACTAGCCCTTCATGCCTGAAAAGGTGTCCTACCAACCTATTTTATGGATACTGACCACATTGGTGACTTCGAAAATAAACATCCGCGTATCAATATCGCATGTAGAATATTATAATGTATGCCTGCACGGCGAAGGGACTATTTTGGGTACTTCGGGAATTAAAAAACTACCTTTCCAGTACTACCGCCCAAGTGAAACTAAATTTGTTAACTGACCTACTCTAACGAGAACCTTGAACCTTTCAGATTTGATTGACTTTTTTGCGTTACATCAGTTCCGAAGAAAATTCTTTAACACATTGAGTACAGTTGTGTTATCAGTTTTTATAAGCAATGTTTTATAAGACAAAGATGTGAAAAAATGCTGATAGTAGGGGTGTCTAGGTTTAATTCACCCGGGACAACACTGAACCAAAAATACTATAATTACAACCTTGTAACTTTATGAATTGAACCTTCTACGGGCCTACACAACCCTTCCATCTTTTAATTTATGCATCTATAGGCACCCAACTGTACTCGAATAGAGACATTTAAACCCGACCCGCTCTTTGCAACTGTTTAGTCAAAATAGGCGTTTTTTAGTTAAATATTTAAAGAAAATATCCTGAATATCCAGTATAGGTCTATGCAACGTTCACTTCTGTTGATTAAATTTTTTAATCGCCAATAAGTTCTCGAATTATGTACTATCAACCATCCTAGTTACATTGATCTTGCTTACAACATAAAACCGCTTTTTTTATGTTTTCATTCGGTAGTATCTTTAAAAAAAACTTGAATCAATCGCTTTTACAGAATTCCAACTGGATATAAAACAAAAGCCACTAAAAACGGATTTTATGACACTTATTCAACTTATTCCAATGTACACGGATAATAATCAGTACTATTTAACCCAAACAGGTACGTCAGTGTGAACCGATAAAAATGAAAATTAGCACCTACAGACCATTTTAATCTACTTAATTAACACTAAATCTGTTCAAATTATCATGGATATAGTAATTGAACAAATCGTTTATGTGTCTACGTATCTACGATTGTTTAAAATCAGAGATGCGATTTATTTAAGACAGCTCCGCTTAAAATATGTACAAACGCAAAATATAAAAAAGTCGATTTTGTGAATAGTAAATGCAAACTACAGTGGTTTGGTTTCTACCAAGAAGGGTAACCTCCTTTTTTGCATGGGACAAGGGTAGGCAGCTCTTGTACGTATATAACCCCACACAACTTAATTCAGTCATCGAGCGATATGACCTAAAGGTTTAGACCATTGCTTAGCATTCGGGAGGATTCCGGTTCGATTCAGGGTCCATCTGCCTTGGTCCAGGTTTTCCGGTGGTTTCCTTGGATCATTTAGGCAAATGCTGAGGCAATAATATTCCACAGATAATCTTTCATTCTCTTCTGTCTTCATTTCGTCCGTCTTATCTTTCTCACCCGAACCACCACCCACCCATTCCCACGATTCCTGAAAGGAGGCTGAAGAGGGCCTTCAGCTCTACCTCCCGGTGTAGTCCGGAAGGACTGCCTGCCCACCAGTATTAGCTGCTGGTAGGAAAACACACAAAAAGTTTTTTTTTAAGTATCTATTTCCTCCTGTTTTGCATATGCTATTCTTCCCTCATCACTTATGGGCCAGGAAGTGAATTTTCTTCGGCGAGTAATTTAGCAGACTAGAAACTCTCAATTTCCTAAAATAATATGTACTTTTGCATCAGTAAATAGAAATACTGCGTCTTGATTAACTAAAGCCTCTTGGATAATATGATCGGGTTAAGTTAACGTTCAGGGTGGGCCAATACATAGGCCGGAACTTTCATTGTAAAGACTTTAATCTACCCAGGTAGCTATGTCCTTGTTTCCACCATACTATGAGTCAAGTCAAATTGAGTCATATAAACACAAGCAAAAACATTTGGGTGGTTTATTCCCATCAGCTACTAACGCTGGTGAATAGGCAGTCGTCTCGGACCACGCCGCAGGGTAAGACGGAAGGCCTTTTGCAGCCTCCATTTAGGAACAATGGGAATGGATGGGTGGTGATTGGAGTGAGTAAGGAAAGATGACACAGAAGAAATGAAGGCAGAAGAGAATGAAATGTAACCATTGCTTGGCATTCGGGAGGACGCCGGTTCGATTCCGGGTCCGTCTGCCTTGGTCCGAATTTTTCTGTGGTTTCCTTGGATCACTTAGGCAAATGCTGAGGCAGTAATATACCACAAATAATCTTTCATTCTCTTCTGTCTTCATTTCGANAATAATAATAATAAAAGTAAGCAACTGTTTTACTATTCTTTTTATAGATGTACTTGTCGTTAGCATAATGAGTTAAAAATTACTTTTTTACATACAACGCTTTATCATTTACATTATCGCGTACCTACTGAAAACTTTACATAAGCCTGCATGGTATCTATTCTGTACTGTTTTACGTCAAAGAGCGTCCCACCTTTACCTAACTATTAAGTAAGTTAAGTAAGTAAGAAAAGTGAGTATGATGACAAAAATGAAGTTAAAATGATACGAAACAACTAACTTAAACATTTTTTCAGACAATATAAAACAAACAAACAAATAAATGACAATCACCAAAACACGTACCTACTTGGTACTCCAATAGAAAAATAACGAGTTTCAAAATATGTGTGTAAGAACGTAATAAGCGCTCTTTAACAACAATATAACTATCACAGGTCACGACGAATTTCTCGATTTTCCGTGAATTCACTTTTTCCTCTTTATTCAAAAAAAAAAAGACGAACTACATACGCGCACATTAACAGCGAGGACGTATCATGTACTCACGAGAGGTCGTTTTTGAACTAGTCATTGGTACGTGCTACGACAACAACGGTTCGAAACGAAACAGAGAGAGTATCTAATTATAAACATTTCAAACGCGGCCAAAATCTAAAAGAAAATATGTTGGCCACCCAATAACCAACTGTTACAAACCATTCCGCGTGTATATTTTTGATCTTCACTCAATTCGATGATGACAAACGTTATCGCTTAATAGAAGTCATTGAAGAAATATGTAAGCAAACCTTTAGTATCTGATGTTAAAAACTGCCTCCACTGAGTAACATAAACTATAGGGTTGTTCGGAAAGTCATTTCGTCTTTTCCCGACAGAGGATTTAATTGTATTCTTTTGCACCCAACTTCACATTTAAGCCGTATAATTTTTATATGCTTTGAGAGCTCATATAGCAAGGCTTGTGTGTGAAAAATTCCAATTAATTCTACGCAGTAGTTTTTGGTTGGTGCCCTTTTAAATATGGAGANACCTACCATAAGCTGCTTCTGGTTAACAGAGAATAGCAAATTATTACATAACGTTAATAAACACCATCTGTAGAGAGTTACCGATAACATAGCAACTGTGAGCTTAATAATGTCTAACAAAGTTTCAAATTAATAAGTCGATATCATTAATTAAAAAAGGCTATGTTGAATATTATTGAATCCACAATTAACGTTATCTCTTCAAAGATGGCGTTTACTGCTCTGTCTGTAGTTGTTTAATTATATTTTCATTAGAAGTACGTCTATCTCTAGCGAATAATAGTTGCAATAATCGGTATAAAAATCGCAATGCCTTTGAAAGGATACCCGAATAAGAGAGGATATATTTCCGAGAGATGATAACTGTACACATCATCAACTGAAGCTTGTGTGTAAACAATTATCGTGCTCACGAGCTATAGTGTGTGTATACTGCATATATATACGAAAGAGAACTGCCATCACCTCGTAATTTACATACTAAATTCATCGCTGCAAATTGTTTGCATTTTCCTCCCCTTTTGGTAGATGAAATTTGGAGAGAAACGTTAAGTAAACGAAGGGAAAGAGTCAATATAAAAATAGCAGACGAAAAATTAGAAGAAGTCTCTGATTTTCAATATCCATGAGGTTAGATAACTCACGATGTAGAGATATACCAGGGTGGATACACAAGTTTGGTAAATCGTCACGAAGAAGGCACTGCTGTACCATTTTCATGTTTTAGTCAGAGAAGGCAAATCTGTATACTGTCACATACGAGGTCTGTATCGCCAATTTTGTGTTTCTTCAAAAATTACTTACTGTCTATTTCATTGTGACCGTGAAGACATCTGCGCGAAGATAGAAAGAAAACACATTAGGCGTGAGCAAGACAGAAACAGTTGGAACAAGCTTGAACGAGCAGAGCTCTCGATGGGCGGTCTTAGGAGATCGGCTAGAACCGTACAGTATTAGACGAAAATGTTTAGAAATTTCTTAAAACAAAAATGTATATAAATTATTTTCATTTCCACAAAAAAAAAACGAAATGACTTTCCGAACAACCCTATAATTATAATAATATTTTCAACTTGGCCCACTCCAGATTCGGATTTCCCATGTTGAAAGTTAAGTTTCTCTAGCAATGATCTTTGGTCTCCAGTAGTCCTTTTTGACCATCTATCTGCAAAACTCTTTACCACCGCTTTACAAATATATAGGTACGTCATATTTTCTTTAGTTTTCCATACTGTGTGTTATATGGAGCACCATTACGATTTTGAGTTAAAAAACAGTAAAACAATGTACAACAACAGAATTGAAGAAATAAAACAAATAAAATAATCTGTCATCTTGTAGTGTCCGTCATAGAGAATTAATGTTAAGTGAACCGTCTGACTTACACACATCATCATCATAAGGTCGTCAGTCCTAAGACTAGTTGGATACATACCTCCACTCTTTCCTATCCTGAGATAATCTAGAACAAACGATATCCTTAATTATTTGCGAACGGTAATCTAATCTAGGCCTACCTCTAGCCCTCCTAATTCCCGTTTTCGCCTCTGATATGTCTCTGACTAGACCTTCATGCCTGAGAAGACGTCTTACCAACCTATCTCGCCTATTTCTAATTAACTTCCATAAAGTCCTCTGGAACTACTACCTCTACATTTCCAACCTTCTCTATCCACGGTATCCTCATCATTCTCCTGTAACACCATATTTTGAACGCTTCTAATATTTTCTTGCCCACCGTCCGTGTTTCGCACCCGTACATCGCCGCGCTCCAAACATACACCTTTAGCAACTTTTTTTGAAATTCTAAAATAACTGTTCGTGAGCATAGAAGTAACTTTTTTTTATTGAAGGTGACCCGTCCCTGTGCTATCCCCTGCTTAATATCCCTATACACACGTCAGCAAAATTTCAAAGATCTAGGTTAACAAAACCAGATGATGTGATTCCTTTATTCCTACATAAGTTAGAGTGAACTGCGTCCCAAACCCTAAAGTAAGGCAATGTAAACCACAAATCATCAAGTGATGGCTTAACGAAACAAAAACAAAGTGTTCGTCACATTGTCGATACATAACAAATATACAACCAACACAGAAATTAGAACAAGGTCCATCTGTCTGTTAGTTTAATTTAATCTTCTCTTTTTGTTAGTTCTGCTTCCATTACATTGATTTTATTGCGATATTATTTAGGTCATTCATAGATTTACGTCTTTAGAGTGGTAACTGGGTAAATAAATCAAAACAACACATTGTACCTAAGTCACGAAATGAATAAAAATAATTTCCAACATAGTTTATTTCGTATTTGGCCATATCACCTAACTTAACCTAGCCGTCGATAGAAGAGGTTTGAATGAGGAGATACGAGGCAGAGTAGGGAAATCAACAACACGTAGGCGAGTCAGGTTGATAGAACACCTTCTCAAGCATTAAAGCTATTAAGAGACATATTAGAACCTAAGACAAAAGTTAAGAGAGCCAAAGGTAGACCTGAATTGAATCAAATGTAAGATGAAGAAACTGGATTTCCGGAACCTAACCTAAGCGTTTAAGATCCCGCATCGACAAAGTGAAATTCCGGAAAATGTCTCTTCTGATAGAAGACGAAAGGTCAAACGTTTTTGACGTCACTATGATTCGTCATGGGGATTTCTTCAATAAGACGCAGTCAGAATACGGAAATCCAGTTTCTTCAGACCACAACCGTGAATGCCTCAATTTCAAAGATATAAGTTGCTCTAGTTTTCAAGAAATGCGAAGATTGAGTCAAAATAAGAACAAGTGAAAATGCATGTCTAACCAGTCTTCAAACTGAGGACCTTATGACGATGATGAACTTAACCTAACCATCGATAGAAAAGCCTGAAATTAAGAGATATGAGACAGAACAGGGAAATCAAGAAGACGTAGACGAGTCAAGTTCATAGGTTGATAGAACACCTTCACAGGCATTAAAATTATTTAGGGACATATTATAAGCAGAGACAGAAGTCAAAAGAGCCAGTTAGACCTGGATTGAACTATTGATCTCAAACAGTTAAAAACGTAGGAGAAGATGCTGGATTTCTGGAACCTAACCGCGTCTTATTAATGAAATCCCCAAAACTGTTGATGAAGAGTTTAGCAAAACCGTTGGAGATCCTGCATCGACAACGTGAAATTCCGGAAAATGTCTCTTCTGATAGAAGACGAAACATCAAACATTTTTGACTTTACCGTGATCCATCATGGGGATTTCATCATTAAGACACGGTCAGAATACTGAAATCCATTTTCTTCAGACGACAGCAGTCAAAGACAAAATCAACTTCAAAGATGTTGCTCTAGTTTTCAAGAAATGCGAAGATTGACTGAATGTAAGAACAAGTGAAAATGCATATCTAACCAGTCTTCGAACTGAGGACCTCATGATGATGATGTACAGTCTATTTCGATTTGTTAGAATTGTGACCTTGAAGAAATCTGTGCGAAGATAGAAAGAATACACATTAGGCGTGAGCAAGACAGAAATAGTTGGAACAAGCTTGAACGAGCAGAGCTCTCGATAGGCGGTCTTAGGAGATCCGCTAGAACCGTACAGTATTAGACGAAAATGTTTAGAAATTTCTTAAAACAAAAATGTATATAAATTAACAATAGAAAACAAAGCAAAAGTTTTATAGGTGTGTAGAGCGTTAAGTTAATTCACTTGTTATTATTTTTGGCTAAATATGCTTCTAAATAAAGCATTTTCTTACATTTTAACGAGGCAGTTTAAATAATTTTGCAAATGGTACTGTACACTTTTGTCTAGTTCTCGCTCGATGATCGGTGGAGAAATGAGCTCCGCAGACGAATATGATTGAATTTTGAATTATGCTACGGCGCATCCTAATACAGGAAAGGGGCATATCTCTAACTTCTTGAATCGAACAGTAGTTAACCTAATGCAGGGATATTGAAAACTTTCACTCATTATTTGGTGACAACGTTTCGATGGTGAAGATGACTTCAGTATAGAACCACACCCAAGGCATTCTTTCATTCGAAATTTACACCGTTATTGCACCCTTGTATTTTTATTTTCGCATTGAATAATAAAATATGCTCCGCAAGTTTCTTGTACCTTTATTTACTACCATGGCGTGTTCTCTTTTTTGTCATACTTATTAGAAACTATTATCAGCATGACATTTTACGATAAAACGAGCATATATTGTTATGTAATATGAAAAAAGCGGAACCTTCTTTCTGCATAATGTTACGTAAATGTAAACAATTTATTTGTATCAGCCAACCGTTCAAGAAATGTTGGAGTTGATAATAGTAAAGTTACACATGCAGATACAGGGGAGATATTCTAAAGTAAAGACTTACAAATTGGTTTATTAAGCAGTGCAATGAAAATATAGTAATGAAAAGTTATTCCACAAAATGGTCCACTTAAAAAGAGACTTGCTAATTTCATGTCAATAGATACATAATTTTATTTCACCACAAAGACAAATAATGTCCAAAGTAGCCTTCATGCGACACTAAATGCATAGTTTTTCTATAATAAATGTAATTTTTAAATTTACACAAATTTTGATATGAAAGGCCGCAATTCGGGCATTCATATGTAGATACGACATATTGGTAAGAAAATGTCCTTTTTTAGGGGTTACCATTATCTAAACCGACGATGTAACAAAATGGAAGCGAGTCAAGGTCGCAGCGTTATTAGACGCAACACATCGATATTATTCAATCATCGAATATTTATCCTTTTATGTTTTTGATTTACATTTACTTGTGACTTGGTGGAAAAAAGGGCCTAGCCATCATGGGCCGTCAATTCC